TAATATTCAAGAAATTTTAGCTGCACATCTACACATGTGATTTTACCCAGACTTTTTCCGAGCAGTGAGACGGCCATAGGATATATCTATGAAAACAAGCAGGTGTAATGACATCTGTATCATTTAAATAAGGAGCAATTTCATAAAAGATAATGACAGAGTATGTAAAGAGTATCAACCTGAATCAAAGTGAAGTTTTCTATTGACAAAGTACATCTTTGTCAAAAGTAAGGTCAGGATTTAGTTATTAACAGTTTCAACACTGTTGAATAAAACATTTTATCGTTGTGTCACAATATCAAATCCAAAAGCACAGCATGCTTAAAATCACCCTGCTTAGAGAGGCCAGAAATTTTGCTGGTGGAAAACTTCAAAGGTACATTTACATACACAACTAATTTGAGCTTTGTAAAGTTTGATTTAGTGCAAATTTGGTCAGACTTAAATGTTAACACGAATTGTAAAAGTCCTGTTTCAGTCAAACTAAGGCAATAAATTGAATGGTTTGTAAACTATGAACAGAGGCTGTATGCAATCAGCAGACCCAAATACCCAGTGAGAGGTCAGGGCAGCAGGGCACTGGAACAAAGTGACTCTGGATTATGAGCTCCACACATCATCCTTGGAGAACAAATCTGAATTTTTATGTTTCAAAATCAACCAAGCAAGAACATTTCAAAAGTATTTGTCGAAATAATCTATCCTGCCAGTTCAGAATAACCATCAAACAAAAAAACACGAGGTGCAAAATAAATGTCTTACCTCTCTGCACAAATGAGATGGGTAATAGTTTGTAAACTTGTGTTTTTTTTTTTTTTTTTTGTGTGTGTGTTTTTATGTGTTTTTAATGTGTTTTATGGATGTAGGACAAGCCAGCTGGAAGTGTGTGAATTATTGTCGTGTCCTGTTCAAATAAAAGCAACAGAAGGATTTGGAGCTGGTGTTCTCCGGTCTGTGTGTGAAACACTGATTATACATGTGAAGCCTGTTGGTTGGTTGTTTGCTCGTGTGTGTGTGTGTGTGTGTGTGTGTGTGTGTGTGTGTGTGTGTGTGTGTGTGTGTGTGTGTGTGTGTGTGTGTGTGTGTGTGTGTGTGTGTGTGTGTGTGTGTGTGTGCAGGACAGGTCACATCATGACTATGGATGTAATAGACTTGGCCTCTTAATTTTGAGAAGGGTACAATGCATGCTTTTGTACCCCTGTAAAACTGGGCCTGCAGAGCCTTTGTTCACCCTTGGCCTATAATCAGGGCGTCTTGTATTCAGGTTTATACGGTAATTTTTTGTTATATTAAGCAGTGCACTTCTGTTGTGAGAGCTCTCTGCTCTGTGCACATGTGGGATGCCAAAGCCTGAGGCGGGCAGAGCACACTGTTCCTACATCGTGTATTGATGTGCATAGATGTTGGCAGCAACAAATTAAGTCATTTAATAATTTTTAGACCAATAAACTCATGAAATAAAAAGAGAGTAGCAGTGCAATAGACAGAGTAATATTGTTTTTTTTTTACGCTGGAAATCACCCATGAACACTTGGTAAACCAGGAAGGGAGAGCAGCATCAAAGACCCCCAGCAGCCTCAGTAACAATTCATATGACACTAGTTAAATCAGACACAGTGTAATGAGGACGAGCTTGGATGGAGGCGGTTGTAAAATGTAGAGGAAGCAGGAAGAGTTGGCAGGATGAAGATGTTTGAATAGGACAAACATTTTCAGAATGTGGTTTAAGTCTGTGATATAAACAGAAATCTAAGAATAAAACAGACAATATAGAGGAAGAACACGGGCTCCAGATGCCTTACACCAAGACAGGAAGAAACCTCATACCACTGCTGGACTGACCTTTAGAAATAAGACCTTTACTGTTATATGAGCTGGTAGACTGATATCACACTGTAAATATCAGGGCAGGTTTCAGTCATATGAAGAGGGTGGAGGTCCTCTGTTGAAGCAGATAACAGGATAGAGTATCTGATATCATCTTACAGGAGAACTCTAACAAATCAAATGAAATAAAGGTCAAAATGGAGACTGAAAACTGTAAGCCTTATCATCAGGACAGTTCTTCACATCCAATAATCCAGTCATGTTTCTGCCTCCCTCTCTCAATGGTCTGTGGCTGGGTATAATGTTGACAAGCATGTGCAGTCTGCAAAATCAATCAGAGACACTTTCTTCTTTGGAGTTTCTTTGTGACCGATTTTTTTTTTTATTTCAATTGAATTTTGACTCCCAACTTGAGTCAGTCCTGCATGTAAACAGACAAGAAATAAACCACATGAAACGTCTTTGCACAGTCCAACAAAGTCCAAAGCAGACCTGTCTTGTTTGTCAAATGGACTCATTGTTATTTTTAGCCTTTTTTGTAATCAGATAAAAACTCCACACATAAGTTTAAACAGCAATGTTACTTCCCCTTATCTGTTTTGGATGGTGATCATGGCTGTTGGTGGTTTCCTGTTGTTTAGGGAAACATCACGGACAGCCAGGCATACACAGCGTTGACTTTCACTTTCCGATAAAATACACTAGAAAAAGAAAAAAAAAAATCACAGAAAACACACACAGGTCACTGAATAAGTCATGTTGATGCATGGATTAATGTTACATCCACTGAAATAATTTCACTGCACGACACAAACGATGTGGGAATGTCAAAATGTACAGATGAGTACATTTCACACATGCCAACAGTTTCAGACGGGATCTAAAGATGTCTTGGAGCCTCAGGTGCTTTACATCCATGAAAGGTAGGCTGTTATTTTCTTATTCTGGTTGTTGGCTCACATGGCTTTATTTAGTACTGTGTGCATAATTGATCCTGTTTAGTCTCATTAATATTCTCAGTTAGTTGCATGCTGCATGGGTGAATAGCCCAGATTCCCAACCGATGGGACCATTATGTCAGTCTTACATTTTACACCATATACCAAGATGCTTTGTGATTCACAGACGGACAACCCTTGAATTAAAAGACTTTTTTAGGATGATGCAAGAACTTGGGCCACTTTACGTGTGATTTTTAGGTCTCATAGTTTTGAAAAAGTACAATACTCAGTGTTTGTTCCATCAAAAGTCTTTTATAATTGTGTGTTTAAGCAAAATAAAAATATAAATTTTAACTAAACCCACTTGTTAAAAAAAAGTTTAGGATTTGCAACAAACACCGAACATGAATCTGTAAACTTTAGTAAATATGGTTGTTGGGTGTAACTCTCTCCATCAGTCATATTTTTCTCTGTATGGTTTTTCTTTTTCTTTTTTTTCTTTCCCTGTCCAGAAAAACTGAAAATATCAGAGTGTGAAAACATCAGGTGATTTTTCTCCTCCAGCTCTGATATGAAACACAGCATACACCTTGTTTCAGATTTACAGGATATCATTACATGTTCAGAGAGGAGGAGCAGCTGATTCCTGCCTCAGACTGATAAAGGTGTAGGTGTGCTGTCTCAGACTGATAGCAGGCTGCTCACCTGAATCTTTCTGAGACGAGGAAGAGGCTGCAGGTGAGGAGGAGCATCAATCACCTGAGGAGACAGGATGTTTTCTCAGAGAGGTAGAAGATGGAGGAGGACTTTCAGTATTTAACACCCTCTTCCCACTTCCCAGAGTTGTAGGTGTGAGACATGGAGCAACAATGCCCTCTGCTGGTCTGCATTAACAGTGATGTTTCTGCAGCAGCAGGAAGTTTGATAAGAGTCAGTGGTATTTCTCCCTTCAACTTTCATTTCCACGAGACTAACTGCTGTTCTGGAAGAAAATCAGGAAATATTCACTAGTTTTTAAAGTCTAGGGAGTTGTCTTTTGATTTCAAGTGTTCATTTGACCAAAACCCAAGGACTTAATTTCATAGGATTGAAAATTTGAAAAGTAGAATGGATAACTAGTTCAAAAAGTAATCACATTTAAGTTAAATCATTTAGACTTCAAAAGGGCTAAGAATTGCTCAAAAGTAAAAGCAAAAAAAAAAATTAAAAACTGCTGATAGGCATCTGATAAGTTGGGCAGATATAACACATGAACTCTGCACATTTGCTGTTTGATTCTCCCTTAATCTACTTTAAAACAATGAGGCTATATTTCACCCCTGGGGTATTAAAAAAAAAAGAACAAGATTTATGCTATGCTTTTAACTGTGGTCTTATGATCTGATATCTGGAACTATATCATGCCTGCAGGTCAGAGGTAATTATAATAGCTTTGTAATTGAAAATAACACTATAATTGAGTTCTAATTAGTGAGTGTCTTCATTTTCTTGACTACCAGCTGTTGCAGATGTTTTTTTTTTCTTTTTTTAAGAAGTTCTATAATGATCATATATTTCTCTTGATATAAATACAGATAGTTTTTTTTAGCTTTTTTTTTTATTATAAATGTATTTTATGCTGCCTCAGTGGGGTCTCATGGTTAAATTGTATCAATATGTTTATCTCACCAAATACACAGTATGTGGTTAAAGACTGATAATAAAACACCAGCAATTTGTTCAATTAAAAAACAAATTTGACTTATTTTAATTAATTAAAGTTCAATTACATATAAAAAATTATCATTAAATCATTAAATTATTATTTTTGAGCAGGAGGCTGATTATTATGATTATTAAAAAATGCATATATTTTACTTTTTCTTGAATGCATGCAATTCCCTGAAGTATGAAATAACTCAATAATATTCAAAAAATAAACTTTAAATATCTTTTCTTTTGTTATAATCTTCAGTAATAATGGAGGTGATTGAGATGCTGTGGCTTTTTTTCCCCTTTACACTGAACAAATCAGTTCATATCTATCAAAATAGCTTTGATAATATGTGCACATATCCCTTTCTCCCTCTATAAAAAAATATAACAAGTTTATTTATAGAAGTCTGTGAGTTATGAGGTAAAATGTGAAAGTCTCCCAAACAGAGGACATGCAAGTCAGTATGTGAAAAAAAAGAGTGGCATAACCCAGAGAAGGCTTTCTACTGTAAGGCAGACGTTGATCAGAGCGCTGTCAGAAGGTAACACAGTCAGAGAGAGTGCTGCTGGCCCTTTAAGACTCTCACGGTCGCCTTGGTTACGACCAGGAAGTAACTTTGACATGGAAGCATCTGCGGGCTGAAGCGTTCCTGCCTTTTCATTCTTCATCAGAGAGGTTTCAGTGATTGTTTCAGTTGACGACAGAAGGAGAGGTAAGTCCTAGAATAAGACAAAGTCACTTTAAGATTATTTCAACCCTCGTATGTTAAGAAAATACCGAAACATCCGTCGACGTTAGCCGCTGGGTCAGTTCTCTCAGCTGCTCTGTTAGCTTTAATGCTAACCTGACTGTCTCTTTGGCTGTTCAGTTTCGTCCTTTTTTAATATTTTTGGGCGTGATGTTGTTCATGGACAGGCCTCGTTCTCCTCTGTGTGTGTGTGTGTGTGTGTGTGTGTGTGTGTGTGTGTGTGTGTGTGTGTGTGTGTGTGTGTGTGTGTATACCTTCACTGTCGCTGTCCATGGTGCTAACACACAGTAAACAGATGTCTGAAGTCTGTTTTTCACATTTACGATTCTTCTTGAACCCAGTTATTCATTTTTGTCCTCTGATGTGGACATGAGTCTAAAACGAATATTTCTAAAACGTTATCAGATCTTATAATGATACTGTGTGTACCATTCAGAAGACATCCAGACCTTTCCTTAGAGTTTAAAAAAAGCTTTTAAAACATTTGGCATTAACCCCTTTGATTATAATAATTAAGAATGATTAACGTACATATGAAGAGAGAGAGAGAGCATTTACATGAGATGTTTTGGATAAGGGCCCTTTAACTGCCATTTTTGGCCAAACAGGTGACAGTCCCATGTCTCAATCACGAGACAAAAATATCCAAACATTTGTCACTCACTCAATCAATCAATCTTTATTTTTTAAGCACTTTTCATACAGGGAATGTAGCACAAAGTGCTGTCCATTCGCACAGGATATTAAAAAACAATGAAATAAAATTAAAATAAAAAACAAATGCCAAACCCCACCCACCCTCCCAACCTCATTCAACACGTACAGCACTCACACGCTCACACACAGATGCAGACACAAAAGACCAGGACACTTCAACTTCAACTGGATCTCGCACTAAAACGTTAAAATCATGATAAAATATAATAAGGGTCATAAAACGTTAAAAGTTAATTAAATAAAAGTGTTAAAAATCAAACAATAAAAGAAAGTAAATTAAAAAAGAGGAAATAAAACACAAAATAATTACTCTAGGACTAAAATAGCGTAAATCAAGATTAAACCAAAATTCACCTAAAAGCAAGACTAAAATGGTAGGTCTTTAGCTTACTTTTGAAAATATGAACTGTAGGTGTCGCTCTCAGGTCTGCAGGTAGGCTGTTCCACAGATGGGGACCGTAATGTTGGAATGATGATTCACCATATTTTTTAGTTTTTACTTTGGGAACGATTAAAAGACCACTACCTGAAGACCTGAGGGCTCTACTAGGTTCATACGGTAGAAGCAAATCAGAAAAATAAGAAGGAAAAAGACCATTAAGAGCTTTAAAAACTAATAAAAGAACCTTAAAATCTACGCTGAAGGACACAGGTAGCCAATGCAGACATTTTAAAACTGGTGTGATGTGGGCTCTCTTCCTGGTCTTCGTCAGCATGTGTGCAGCAGAATTTTGTAGAGGCTGAAGCTGTGAAATGTTCTTTTTAGGAAGACCAGAGAGGAGAGCATTGCATCGGTCAATTCTGCAGGTGATAAAAGCATGAATTAGAGTCTCTGCATTGGCTTTTGAGAGAAACTGGCGCACTCTGGAGATGCATTATTATTTCGGCATGATTTTGTCAGTTTGGGATTTTCCATCTTATATTCAAAATAGCGAACAGAGGAGAGGATGCACAAGTACCCCAGGAATGAGTGTAAAGTTGTTTAATGCCCCCCCAAAAAACAAACAAACAAACAAACAAACAAACAAACAAACAAATCAAAAAGCTGACATAAAAACATCCAGCCTCACAGGTACCTTTAAGAGTGACTTCAGGAGAAGCCAGTGGCAGCTAATGACCTTTTATTTATAACTTCCGAAACAAGTTTTGTTATTAAACTGTTTAACTCTGGTTCTTCTCCAGAACATGAGCGAGAGCGGGGATGAGATCAAACCTGTCAGCTGTACCATCAAACCTCCTGTTTACCTGCACATTGGAGAGACAAAGACAGACCCTGCCCACTCTGGCGTCTGCGTGGTGGACGTCACCCTCCCCTTTGGAAAACCTGTCAATGTGAGCATATATTAAAAAAGAAATGTGTCATCCATTATGTTTTAATTTTTTAATATTTGCATTAGATGAATTATTGAGGTGCGCATGCTTCTATAAAGCTAATTAAAAAAAAGCATTTTAAAGTGAGCTTGCTCTAAATCCACCTGAGAACCTACTTCAGGTCTATTACATGGAGTAAACTGACTGTGTTATGAAGAAGAAGTTTAATCCCTTCAGTATTAGACGTTTGCTTATCCTCCAGCCTGCATATGCATCCTGAAAGTACAACTTTCCCTTAAACTTCATTAAATCCAAAACTCCTGCTGTCTCCCGGCGGCACTGTCTAATAAAGCAGAAAATAACTCACATACAAGCAAAACAGGAGTTTAAAAGACTCGCTGTGTTCCTGAGGAGAGGGGGACTTCAAACATTTTGGGCTTTGACCCAATTTTTTATCATTTAGTGCTAATTAAGAGTCATTTTTAAAGCAGAGCAGCTCCTCATTAGCTCACAGCTTCAAAGTCCTCCGCCTGCAGCCAGTTAATGCATGAAGGATTATCTGCACCGCTGCTTTCAGGGGGAATACTGGGATTTGGCAGAGTCAGTGTTTCCTCAACAATAGGTGCGGATTCACTGTAAACCAGAGACAGTGTAATGAGTCTGATATACTGTTCAAGAAAATGCGCTTTTTGTCATTTCATCCAGCAAGGCAGCGCAGAGCTTATATTTGTATATGATAGCAGTAAAAGTCAGATTTGTGTGAGTAGATGGTAAAAAGCAGCTGAAAGTCATAATTTTTGTTCTTGAATGCCATCCAAACTGATACATCCATCAGCTTCAATCATGCAGTGATGAATTCCAGCATTTTTTTAATAAGTGTTACGGCGTCTGATTGTTACAGGTGGAGGAGATCACCTTTAAGAACTACTATACCGCCTACCTAACTGTGCGTCTGCTGAGGAGGAGCCCCGGGCAGGAGGCCCCCTCCAAGTGGTCTACAGCGCTGAGAGACCTGCCTCTGATGGACAACCCCCACACTGAGGGGGGGTCCCAGGACTACTACTCCATCCACAGGACACAGGTTTGTGACTGTGTAAAACAGGTGGGCGGAGTCTGTGTGTGTGTGATTAAGAAATTTCAATCAACACATGTAAGAGTCTCATGCTTTCAAAAGTAATTATAGGTGGATAAAAGTAAAAAATAAAAAATAGATAAATAACAGTGCAACAAGTTTGAAGTTTGATTACAACTCCTTTTAGATGAGGAGGAATGTAGCTGTGCTCCAAAGTGTTTGACACAGCCACAAACTTTAACATGCACAAACTTGTGTAACTACTCCACAATCTTGTCTAGATAGACTCAAACTTTTATCCATGTGACTTTAAACAACTGCTTTTTGTCATAGAGCTGGAGCTGAACTCCAGTCAGATCTAAGAGTTTAAAACTGAACAGCTTGTCTGTAAGAAAAGCTCTGTAAGCATTTTAATGTAGATTTAAAGAGACAATCAGACTGAGCATTTTTTTTAATTTCTGGTTTATTATCGCTGTAAATAGAGCCAGATGGTGACTACTGGTTTACTTTGTGTTTACTTCAGATGGTGCTCTGAGTCTGACAGAGTTTAGAGGATAATTATGAGTGTAAGTCATGTTCATTTGCTATTTGTTATAGTAAGGCTTAAAGGATGTTCACTGTATCCTGAGACTGCAGGGAATCTCTGTATGGGGACTGAAACTAAGACAGAAACTTAATAAAAGTGTCACAACAACATTTTTAAATCAAACTAAACAGCAGGGCTTTGTCTGAAAATACTCCTCATATGTTTTACAGGGTTTTATGTTGAAGGGACGGGGATCAGCCAGACACAACAGAGAGATTTGATAAATGTCAGATGTTTCTTTTGCCACTGATGTTTGCATAGATAAACATGGAGGCAGATTTTTACCTCTGCTGTTCCTCTCTATTAAAAAATGGGTTGTTTTTGCAGTCGTGTCATTGTGTTAGAGTCAGTCTTTTCTCATACTTAGGGTTGCTGGTTTAATCCCAGCTTCTTTAGTCATGCGGTGTGATCACTGTTGGCATATCCAGCAAAAGCAAGAAGAAACTACTTGTGGTATGACAACACTATCAAACATTTGATTAGATTTGAACGGTATAAATTAGGCACTTAAGAGCTAAAGAGCTAAGTTTGAGCTTATTTCAATCTTTATTTTTCAAATAATTCAGTATTCATTATTTGATTTCATTAGTTTTTGTTATACTCTCTTTAAAGAAGGTTTCAGTGTAAAAATAAAGTCTGACTCATATGTTATCAGGCCTGTTGTTTTTCTACATGAGGTGTGGAATGAATCCCCTTCTCAAACAAATACAAAGTACCATTTTTTACTCGGTTTTTACAGTTTTTTTATTTTGATTTATTGTTGTTTGTTTGTTCAGATGCAGGTAGAGCCGGATAATGTGACGTCAGTCAGACTGATCCTGAGACAGCCGTCTGCTGCCTGGCTCACCTTCAGCCTGGAAGAGATCAAGATATATCCTCACACAGAGCCGGTCAGTTTGGAAACATGTTTTAGGTGTTTGTTGGTTTGTTTGATTTTTAATTGGTAGAAAATGAACCCAGAGTGGTAAAGAAACACAAATAAGAAGGATGAGATGTAAATGTCAGAGATATGAAGGTGAGTTATTCAATGATGTACAAAAACTTATTTCACTCATGACTTCGCTGATCCTATTTTGCTGATTTAACTCAGGGAAAACAGATCTCCAGCAGGGGGCCGACATTTTTGTTGACACCTGGAGCCATTTTGGGGTCAACATGTTTTTGTCCAAAAAAGGGATGAATATACAAACCTTATTTTTTAAATTTTTTTTTTATTATTTTTTTACCATGTCATAATACTCGATATCTTTTTTAATAATAATAATAATGCATCAGATTTTTATAGTGTATTATCAGAGACCCTTAAAGCACTTTCCATTGGACACATCATTGTTTCGCTCTTGGTGGTAAACTACCTTAGTAGTCACAGCTGCCCTGGAGGCAGTTTGCACCTACGGCCTCTCCGTAGGTCTCCACCACCACACAACACTTACAACCATACACCAGAGCAGGACACACACCGGGAGTAGGTGTAGGTGTAGTGTTAAGTGTCTTGCCCAAGGAGGGGGGAATCGAACCACCAACCTTCCAGTTATTGTACAACTGCTCTATCTCCTGAGCTACTGTGGCCTATCAGTGCATGACACTGTAAGCCAATACGGTTTTATTTTCTTGCTGCAAGGTCAGCAGTTGCAGCCATTACACTCAAAGCGATGTCACACCCAACTTGAAGGTTCAGTTTGGTGCTTTCAGGATATTTTGCTGGTAGATAATGTTAGATAGATAGTTTATGCTGATAGAAGGGTCTGTGTGACCCTCAGAGGGTGACATGATAAGAGGTCTGTCTGGCTTTTTTGGAGATGAGACTCCAAGTTTAAAATGTCTGGAGGATATTGCAGAATTAATTCTTCTTTACTCACATGAAAAACCGTCCATGTGTCAAAGCCCCCTATAGTGGTGACCTTAGGGCAACACAGCTTTCTGATTACCTCCGTCTGTTTTTTCTCAGGTTGGTTTAGAAGGAAGGGGAACTCCACAAGGAATGTGCTTGCGTTTAAACATGTCTACATCCATGGAAAACACTATAATATCTAATATTATGAAGTACACAGAAGAGCATAAAGGTGTTTTCCCCTTTAACTGTAATCCTGTTATAAGACTTTCCTCCCTCTCTCTCCTCCAGGACCCGGAGAAGGAGGTCTCTGATTGGCTGTCTGACCTGACCCTGGTGGATAACCATCCTGATCTGGAGGTAGAACAGTTTTTTTTCCGTTTTCCACTCGCAGGAGGTCAAATATCATAACTACAGCTAGTTTAAACACAGCAGATTATTATTTATTTACCCTAATGTGAGTAAATGCACAAAAAAAAAAGCTGTTTGAAAAAAGTGAACTATAAAAATGTTTTCAACTAATTTCCCTCCTCACCTGAGGGTAGTGAGCTCGCATCTAGTTTTTATTTGTTTTTCTTCTTTTAAATTCAAGAAGCCTGGGGAGATTTACATTTTTAATCTTAGAAATAAGTACTTTTAACACCCTGTCTGCAGCTCTAAAGTTCCTGTCTGTCCACTCTTACATGTCCCTCCCTTCTCATCTGTCTGTGGAGCAGGGTCTCCCAGACCCTCAGACTGTCTCCTCCAGCCTGCAGCAGATGTGGGCGCTGACTGAGGTGATGCAGAGCAACCAGACCACGGCCTCTATTGGACGATTTGATGTGAGTCTTTTTGAGAAACTAAGGATGTCAGATAGCTGTGTCACTGCTGAGTGCTCTTAAACATTCAAGTACAGTCCTTCAGCCAGGGATGAAAGTTCAAATTCTCTGAGTAGTCTTTGCAAATGTTAACCTTAAATGTCTTCCTTTGAGAGAAACAACACCATATGTGAACCCTTGATCACATATTTTCAACAGTACCACGATAGCTTTAACTGAGAGTTATCTATTACAGAGCTACAGAACTTACAGAGGTGCACAAGTTATTATACATGCTGAATATCAGGAAGTGGAGCAACTCCTTAAAATAATCTCAAACAGAGCAAAGCTCAAACTGCTAAATGTGGATCGCTGCAACGGGAGAAATGAGCAGGAAACATTTCAGACTCACCGCGTCTAGTTTTCTGCGGGCTTGTTCTCGTTAAGAAAATCAGGATGTCTCCTTGGTGGGGCCAGGATCAGTCAGACAAATGAACAGATGGTGCTGATGTTGCTGCTGGCTGGCAGATGTACTGCTGTCCCAGCTTTTCCTCTCTGCATCTCTATGAAATGTTCTCAGTCTCATGTCTGTAACTGGAGATGCAGCTGTGGTGTATGTCTTCTTGGAAACAACTGATCTGATTGTTGTTCAGAAGAAGTATCAGTTTTCAATTTCAACAAAGAGGAGAGGAATCAGCTGAGTCTGAATGAGACATTCACTGAGCGCACTCTGTCTCTGTTCTGTTTTTCAGGTGGATGGATGTTACGACATCAACCTGCTGTCTCTGACGTAACACAGCTGTGTCCTCATAGAGCTAACAGTGTTCAAACTTGAAATAAAGTCAGAGACTCATCCAGACATCAATATCCTCTGTTACCATGAAGAACAAATTCAGAGCAGGGCTTTCTGTATCCGCTGCCTTTCTGTTTCTACCAACAGCTCTGTCATTTGTGTAATCATGAAGACATGCTCTATAATTTGAGACTCAAACCTCATGACTTTCCAGCAGGTTGTCTCTAAAAAAGCTGCTTGAGCTTCTTTCTGTTTCCCTAGAGGCTGCTTTTATTGAGCTGATATATTAATGTACTCTGCAGACCTCTTTAGTCCTGCATGTATGCTAACAGACAGCATTATAAATATACAATATTAATGTATAGCAGCCTGATATCATGGCTATGGGGAATCATGTATGTGTATATAAATTGCATTACAGGTCTGCATACATATGACACTGTCCATTGTGAGACACAGGGTGGCAGCAGAGGATCATGTGAAGATTTACAGTCGCGTGTTTTCTGCCTGGTTGAGGACTGACCCTGAGAGGATGGTTGGAGAAGATTCTGGCGTTTTTAAAGGGCTGCTGAGGTCGAATCTGTGATTTCCATGCTGAGTTTAAATCATGATTCTGATCAATATAAATACTGGGTCATGTAGATGTTAGAGGTCCCAAAAGGTGAGGACCTCTGCAGGAAAACACGATCTATATCTATCAAGCAAAAACAGACTGACTCTGTTTCTAACTGGATTAATGCTTTGTTTGTTGTGTTAAAATGCAATGCCTTTCTATCATAAATATCCTTATTTATTTATTTTTTTATTTTATTTTATTTTTTTTAAGATTGGTTGGCTCTCGTCCTGTTCACTTTAGTTAATCATTTAAATCATTGTTTTTTTAGCCTCCATCAAATATGTTTAATGTTTATTTTAGCTTATTTTTTTGGGGGGTGGGGGAGTACATTTCAGTTTAGATGTTATTAAGCATATTTTCCTGTAGTGTCTGACTTAATATGATGGTGTTATATGACGTCCTCAAACCTGAAAACCCTGCTTTGAACTCCTGGCATAATCAAAGGCTGCTAAAATATCTGAATCAGAACATTTTTATTTGACTGGTACATTAATAAAAATACCGCAGACAATATGAAAAGGTTTATATTTGGTTCTTTGTACATGTGTCAGCCTAAAGCTAGATTGTCTCATGAAATATTTAACAGAAAACTGTCTCACAGTCGGTTCACACAGTGTGCAAGAGCTCTCAAACAGATACTCTGAACTTTTGATCTACAAATTATAGAAATGTAATTTTTATCAATATATGAACCAATATTTCCTTGTACAAATAATATTGTTTTCATACTGACTAATGCTAACATCAGCCAATAGCAGATATAACCCTTGAATCCTCCCCTGTCACCTTCATCTCTACTTCTTTAACTGTGCTGTGACCTCTCTCCTCCCTACATCTTTCCTCTGCACACCTTCAGTGTCTGACCTTTGGAAAACTCATCAGCAGGACCCCAAATAACACATCTGAGGTTTTGAACAACAGGTGATCAATGTGTGGACCATCACCTGGTCTGATAATTCTCCAAAAGTGAGAACAACAGCTACCAGCTGCACAAAACAGCTATTTGAGAAGGTCACTATTCAGTATAGGTGGATGGCCATCAGCTTACATTAAAAGGAGGATTGTACCAAGTCTTTCTTTTTCTCTCCCAGATCACCCGCAGAGCAAATACCATTTGCAACAAAAACAAGGTGCTGTAAATACACTTTAGAGGTCTTCTTTATTATGATCTCAGTGTGAGAAGCACTGCGATATTAAAACTGAGCTCCACGTGTTACTGAGACAGAAGTACAAAATGAGATCCTAAAGCACTGGTCCCAGTCACGTCTGATGTCTTTGAGGGGCGGGTCTGAGTCAAATCTGAAGTCACAGTACTGTGAGACTTCTGAGACAATGTTTTTGAAGCAAACTAAAAGAAATGAGTGACAATGTACTTTCAGATACACTCTCAAAGGATGAAAGCAATCTGAATGATGTTTATTGATTTACTATTCTGGGGAGATTGATGGTTCAAACCAAAGTAATTTCCAACATCATTTGAATGACTTTAGGTTTAACTTTTATTATCTGTATTTATATGTTATCTTCATCCTTGTATCTATTTTCTTGTAAGTTATTCATGGTTCTAATCTGGTTGTACAGTAGTCATGAATATACCTGCGGGGCAGCAAAGTCTCTCTGAATTTTCTGCAATTTTGCTCTATTTTTTTTCATATTTATGTTGTATTTTGATGGCTGCTGGTGGATATATCTGCTGGGAGAAGAGTTTATTGAAGAGAAGAGCTCCTTTCATTGAGACAGAACAAATCTGGACAACAACATCTAATTCAAGGGGACACCAGGAGGTTTGTTCGTGGTTGCCCTGCTGGTGTAGAGGTGAAGGTAAGGTTGAATGCTCGGAGGTGGAGATATAAACCCTTTCTGTTGGACATGTTGGAGATATTGGTGAAGACTGAGAAAGCACACCGTGAGTGCAGTCTCCAGTGTTTTATCGAAACCTGGTTGAATCAAAACAACTCGCACTCCAGTGTGGACCTACCTGGCTTCACTCTCAAAAGATCAGACAGAGAAGCTAAAGTTAGAGGTAAGAAGAAAAGAGGAGGTCTGACTTAATTTGTTGAGAGAGATAGTGCAACTCTTAACATATTACTGTCAAGGAGAAGTTGTGTTATCCAAATAATGAACTGTTGGCAGTATTATGTTCCAAGGGAGTTCAGTCATATCATAACAATACTTGTATTCATGTATTCTCCATGATGATGATGATAGGATACCAACTTAACATCCCGAGGCACTTGTAATAATAACAGGAGACTTTAACCATGTCACCCTCTCCTCTCACCTGACTGGATTTACACAGTTTGTCAACTTAACAGAGACAGTTTGCCATGAGATTCCAGACAAATGAATTTCCCTTTGGGGATAAATCAAGGTCTTGTATTATATTGTTTTGTAAGAACTCTCATCATTAACTCGAGTAGTTTGTTTTAAACAGTGTGTCTCCTTACAATTTTGATATATATTTTAGACTAAGAGTGACTTTTAAGTGAGAAATATTTGTTTCCTGCATAAATGATATACATGCGAGGATCAGCCTGGTCTTTGCTGAGAGTGGATACAGTCTGTAGAGACACAGGTGACAGGAGCTGTACTGACAAACATGCAAAGATGAAAAAAACTCAATTATTTAAAAAACCTGAGCTGGATTTTTATAAATCTAAACAGCCAAAGTTTCATAATAAATTCAGTAGACTTTGGCCTGCAGTGTCTCTGTTGATGCAGACCGGTGATGGCTGAATCAGGTGTTCTTATTTCCTTTTGGGTTTTCAGGAGAAAGTTTGTCTTCTCTCCTGTTGATGTGGACACTTTCCTGAGAGACTCCCTTGAGACATTAAATGAGATATTCTGCTGCACCAACACACACTGACCCTGCAGAGAGTAAATGTGAAAGTGTTAGGGATAGTTCAGAAAGAGGGGCTGGCATTAGAGATGGAGGAACAAATTGAGAACAGACAGGAGACTCACCTTTAGTAGATAGAAAGATAGAAAGTGCATGCACACACACACACACACGCACGCGCACACACACACACACACACAACAGAAGCTGTAAAAATAAACAGTAAAGCATTGCTGCAGAGCCAGCTGCTTACGTAAGCGATAAGTGCATTTCACTTGACATCTGAATTCATGAGCGTAGCCTCTTCTTACTCTGTATGATGATATTTTCTACGACATCCAAACATTTGCGTAAGAGAGAGAGAGAGAGAGAAGACTCAATACAGAGAAAAATATTGTGTATAATCACCCTGCCCACCATGTCCTGGTATTGATTTGCCAAACTGGCCAGCTCAGGGTACATCAGACAAAATTACTTGTAATTCAAGGAAAGGTGCAAATATATACCTGTTACCAAAATAAATGTATCACTATTTCTGTTTTTAACTCAAACAGAAACATTTGATTAAAATTTATTATTTTGATAAATATATTGATTTATTAGTTCAATATTCCGCTCTTTATTCAGCACCATGGACAGTCTTGCTTTTTTTTTTTTTTTTTTTTCTGCTTTAACTCAGTGGGTTTACATGCACAGCTTAATCGGACTAATCACATAATTCTTTATTATTATTTTTTTGCTGAATTGGACTTTTCTCCTTGTCCACGTATACATGCAGCTGAGAAAATTGAATTATTGACGTGAACATGCCCTCCTCCCCAAAACTAGAGAGCAATATGGGCCTTTTCAGCGAAGCATTGTGCAGCATTGTTTTTGTCGTACATGATGTACGCGCTACTTTTTCTGTAGATGAGGTGCACGCTACTCTATTCTCTGGTGTTTTTGTTCCGGGGTTAGGGGGGCGTGGCTCACACACACACATGCATTGTCCTATCATGTTCCGACTACGCTGGTTTCATGGTAGAGAAAATCGAATTCCAATCGCATTATCTGGACGTCGTAATCGGAGTTCTCAGACTCCAATCAGAGTTCTCAAACTCCAATTATAGTCGGACTAAGGTGTTTACATGCACTTCAGTTGTCTGGTCTTAATCTGAGTAAGGCAGTAATTAGGTTTTCTTGAGTGTCATGTAAACGTACTGACTGTTAAGAGCTCTCCATTCAAACCTTGTTTTATTCTAGATGTAAACAAGTTAGAGAGAGCAGTTTGGTGACTCGAAATCATCAAAGATTGGGATGTAGCTGAGAGCACAGTTGACTGAACCACAACAGACTGAGCAGTTGGAAGACTTGTGAAGCTTGTGTGCATCAATTCAGCCCCACTATTTGGTATTACAGTTAATGCCTAAGGATTTCACTGCAGCAAAAATGTTTAACAGCAGAAAGAAAAATCCAGAGTCCCTGATCTTTGGTGTAATGCAGCTGCTGAAGAAGTGCTGGAGGTTTTCAGAGTTTAGACCCAAATCCTCCAGCTCCACCTTCTCCTCCTGACACCGCAGTAATCCTGAATTAACTTTGGTAAACTCTGGGACAGTTTCTAGGACAGACAAATCTAATCCCCACAGGAGCAGAATCTTTTAGTTTTGTTGGAGGACAAATCATCAGACAGTGTTTAAATAGTAAATCCAGCCTGCTTAGTGCACACTGGGTGGTACTTTAAAGGAAGCTTCAGGGAACATTTTATCATGTTCAAGATATTTCAGTGTTTTACTTTGAATTCAGTCCAAGGAGTTTCTCTGAATGACTGACTCAGATTTGATGTTTTGCTTGGTTTTGAAAGTCTCATCAGCTTTGACTCTTGTTCCTCCTCTGTCTGATATTCTCCATCCCTCCCACGCCACCCATCTCTCTGTTTCCCCTTCAGAACTGGTTTGAACCTGGTTATCACATTGCATAAGTCCCTGTGTTGAGTGATGAACTTCTGCAGGTCTTCTGCCTGACTCCATGAATCATTTATTCCTATGAGTTAGTGACAGCAGAGTCGTAGCCTCTGTGATAGCTGACAGCAGGAGAGCAGATCCTCCATGCTATAAGGGGGATAAATGATGCTGCTGATCCACCTGCAAACAGAAGTAGTTCCATGGGGACAGAGACTATTAAAAATGGACCAGACAGGTTGTTGAAGGAGAAACCCAGATGGTTTGGGCAGGAAGTTTTTCTAAAACCAGGTGTGGTCCAGGTTTAGAGCAGGTAAACCTCGACTCAGAGCAGTCACAGTCTGCAGCGGTTTGCTGTCACCCACTGCAAATCAGGGGAAGATACACAACAAAGACAGTTAGAAATTAATCATAAAATGTTTGTTTGCAGGAGGAGGTATGCAGGAGTGCTGTGCAAAACAAATGATTAATGTCTGTTTGGTTTGCAGTTATGTCGCTAATCTCTATGGTAGATTTCATAGATGCAAAGGTGCAAAAATGAACTACTCGAAGACAGAATCTAGTTGGCAGCCTCCCGTGGGATTTTATTGTAGTTAAAGCATCAACCATCAGACCCCAGAAGCCAAATAATCCTAAAATCCCCTAGAGCTGTTTTTCCTTTTATACACTGTTTGGCCGTTCCAATGACGTCATTTGTTATCATCTTCCTGTAAGTGGCCTTCACATTGGTGTCTGATAGCCAA